GAGGGGGCCGCCCGGGGCTGGTCAGCCCACCTTGCGTGCCCTCCAGCACCGTGCCGCCAGCCCCACGCTGCCTGCTCCTGGTCGGCCCTGCTGCAGGCTGTGTGGTGCTTGGCTTGCTGGGCACAGCCGCACGCTGCCAGGAGGCCACTGTCCCCGCTGTCCCCGCCGTCCCTGCAGTCCCTGAGCCTGCACAGCCCCGGCCGGAGCCTGCATTCGACTGGCCAGTGTTCTGGACCTTCCTACGTCCCCAGCTCCTGGCCCTCTCTGCAGCAGTGGTGGTAAGCAGGGGCAGGTGGGCGGCTGTGATTTCTCTTGTCCCCACTGTCCCTGCGCCATGGCATGGTGCCTGCTGTCCCCATACTGTGGTGTGGCACCTGCTGTTACTGTGCCACAGCATGACACAGTATGCAGGAGACGGATGCTCCATAAGGGAGTGTAGTGACAGGACAAGGGGTAATGGGTTCAGACTTAAACAGGGGAAGTTCAATTTAGATGCAAGGAGGAAGTTCTTCACTGTGAGGGTGGTGAGGCACTGGAATGGGTTGCCCAAAGAAGTTGTGAATGCTCCATCTCCGACAGTGTTCAAGGCCAGGTTGAACAGAGCTGTGGGCAACATGGTCTAGAGTGAAGTGGCTTGGAACTGGATGATCTACAGTCCTTTCCAACGCAAACCATTCTGTGATGTTATGATGCCTGCCATCCCTGTGCCGTGGTGTGACACCTGCCATTGCCATGCCATGGTACGACGCCCACTGTCTCCACAGCTGGCTCTGGGCGCAGCCCTGCTCAACGTCCACATCCCGGTGCTGCTGGGGCAGCTGGTGAACGTAGTGGCCCACTGCGCCCGCGGCCACATTTCCAGTTACCTGCAGGAGGTCCGACGCCCGGCCCTGCGCCTGCTCGCTGTCTACTGCCTGCAGGTGGGTGCTAGCACCCTGAGCTGGGCAGGGGATCATGGAGACATCCCCTCTCTCTCCATGCTCCTCCAAGCCCCTCTCCTCCTCAGGGGCTGCTGACTTTCGGGTACATCGCGCTGCTGGCACGGGTCGGGGAGCATGTGGCTGGCAGCATGCGCAAGGCGCTCTTCACGTCCCTGCTCCAGTAAGATGCCCCACAGGGCAACAGGGGCTGGGGCGCACAGGGGGACATCAGTCCACCACCCCAGCCCACTGCCCCTCATCCGTCAGGCAGGACGTAGCGTTCTTTGACGCCAACCGGACAGGGCAGCTGGTGAACCGGCTGACAGCTGACATCCAGGAGTTCAAGTCCTCCTTCAAGCTGGCCATCTCGCAGGTGAAGCCAGCATCCGGTGGCACCAACCCGCAACAACCTTTCCCCCCAAGTCCCCCTGGCCCCAGCACCCACCCGTGCCCACTCCCATCCCCAGGGCCTGCGCAGCAGCACACAGACAGCGGGCTGCTTTGTCTCGCTCTACCTGCTCTCACCCAAGCTCACTGGCCTCCTGCTTGTGACACTGCCCGTCCTGGTGGGCGCCGGGGCCCTCATTGGTGCCTTCCTTCGCAGCCTCTCCCGCCGGGCACAGGAGCAGGTAACCCTGCGCTTACCCACCGCACCAGGGCTGGAGCAGGGGGTGTCCTCCCCTGCTCACCCTCTTCATCCCTCTCCCTGCAGGTGGCTAAGGCAACCGGGGTGGCAGACGAGGCACTGGGAAATGTCCGGACCGTGCGCGCCTTTGCCATGGAGGACCGGCAGGCAGGGTAAGGGAGTGTCAGGGGCTCCTGTGTTGTGAGGGCAGTGTGGGTGCAGGGGGGTTCAGCCTTATCCCTGTCCCCAGGCTGTACTGCGCTGAGGTGGACTGTGCTGGATGGCTGAATGAGCGGCTGGGGCTGGGCATCGCCGCCTTCCAAGGACTCTCCAACCTGGCACTCAATGGTGAGTGTTTGCTGTGGGGTGCATTGTGGTGGTGCTGTGGGTCAGGAACCCCTTCAAGTCCCATCTTTGTCCCGCATCCTACAGGCATCGTCCTGGGAACCATCTTCGTGGGTGGCTCCTTGATGGCTGGGGACGAGCTCTCACCGGGCGACCTCATGTCCTTCCTGGTGGCCTCGCAGACGGTGCAAAGGTCAGGGAAGGGTCGGGCATGCCAGCACCCCTGGCACCCGGCATACCCATGACTCAGCCCTGAGCTCGGCCTCTCCTCTTGTGCACCGCAGGTCCATGGCCAACATCTCCATCCTGCTGGGGCAGGTAGGTGGCAGTGAGGGTCCCGCTGCCCCCCGGGGCTGTGGAGCCAGGGCTGGGAGTGCTCCCACCACCATCCCCACAGGTGGTGCGAGGGCTGAGCGCCGGTGCCCGCGTCTTCGAGCTGCTGACATTGGAGCCCAGCGTGGCGCTGCGGGGCGGGAAGTCCATCCCCAGCCACTCACTGCTTGGCCACATCTGCTTCCACCATGTCTCCTTCAGGTAAGTGCCCTCCCAGACCCCTCTGTGGGCGAGGGGCTGGCACCATGCTGCCACATCTCCCCACTCCTCTCCCCACAGCTATCCCACCCGCCCTGGCTACCTGGTCCTGCAGGACTTCACCCTCACCCTGCCGCCCTGCAAGACCGTGGCCATCGTGGGACCATCTGGTGGAGGTACTGGCCTGGCCAAGACCCTTGCTCTCCCAGCACCCCAGAGATGCCAGATCAGCCTCACTGGTCCCTCTTGGCCAGTGGGTGCCAGGAACTGGCCACCATGCCCTCCACCACCCAGCAGCTCTCCGTGATTCTGGGGTCATGGGGATGCATGGCTGGGAGTGCCATGGAGCTAGGGACTCCTCTGCACAGGGAAGTCGACAGTGGCAGCACTGCTGGAGCGGTTCTATGAGCCCACACAGGGCACCATCACCCTAGATGGCCATGACATCTCCTCCCTGGACCCCTCCTGGCTGCGAGGGCAGGTCATCGGATTCATCAGCCAGGTGTGGGTCTGCTGTGCAGCATTGGGCTGCAGTTGGATGGTTCCCCCAGGCACCGGATGGGACCCCCTGAGCCCATGTTGTCCCCAGAGGGGGGGTGGGAGGTGGCCCCATCCAGGGCTCCATGCTGAGAGGCCGGATGCTGCCATAGGAGCCGGTGCTCTTTGGAACAACCATCATGGAGAACATCCGCTTTGGGAAGCCGGGAGCTTCTGATGCCGAGGTGTACGCCGCGGCACAGCTTGCCAACGCTGACAGCTTCATCCGCAGCTTCCCTGAGGGCTACAACACCGTTGTGGGTATGTGCTGGGCTGGGTGAGGTGAGGTGAGGTGGGACAGACAAACCGCAGAGCATGAGACCCTTGCTAAGGTGGCCCAAGTCCCCTCAGGGACATTGGCTGATGGTTATTGCTGGCACAAGGCTGTGCTGGGCTGCCTGTGGGGAGGATGTGGTTGAGCACGTTCCTGGAGGTCCTGGGCTTGGTGTGGGAACATGTCTGTGCCCTTCTGCTCCCATCCTTGCGATGGGTCATCTCCCAGCCAGCGTGGCTTCATCATAGAATCAGCTGCATCAGAAAAGCCATTTAAGATCATCAGGTCCAGCCATTACCCCAGCACTGCCAAGTCCACCACTAACCCATGTCACTGAGGGCATCTTTGGTTGTGCCATCAGGTGAGCGTGGCGTGGCACTCTCGGGGGGTCAAAAGCAGCGTGTTGCCATTGCCCGGGCCCTGCTGAAGGACCCTGCTGTCCTCATCCTGGATGAGGCCACAAGCGCGCTGGATGCCCAGTCAGAGAAGGTGGTGCAGGAGGCGCTGGACCGTGCCGCCTCGGGTCGTACCGTGCTGCTCATCGCCCACCGCCTCAGCACCATCCGTGGGGCTGACCTCATCGTGGTGCTGGCGCAGGGACGGGTGGCTGAGGTGAGGGGTGCCAGGGGCGATATGGGGTGGGCATGTGGGGCAGGGGGTGCACAGCCCGATGGGTGACACCATCTCCACTGTCTCCACAGGCAGGGACCCATGAGGAGCTTTTGCGACGAGGCGGGCTCTATGCTGAGCTCATCCGCAGGCAGACCAAGGATGGGTACTGAACGTGGGGCAGGGCCTGGGAAGGGCACACCCGCTCCTGGGGTGCCCCCCTGGTGCTCCCCAATAAACTAGCGGTAGAAAGTGGCTGCTGGGGCTCTGCTCTGTGCTGCGGTGCTGGGGGAGGACCAAACCAGATGAGGCTGGGCAGCAGGGGAGGTACCCCTATGGGATGGGGACCCCCTGTGTGACCCCATCTGGGTTGGTGGTTCTTTGTGTCACCCTCCAGGGTGCGGGTCCCTTGCATCTTGCCCTGGGGTGGAGGGTCACTGCCTGCATCACCCCCCTGGGTGGGGGGACCTCTTTGTCATCCCCAGAGTAGGGGGAAACCCTTCATGATCCCCTGGGGTGGAGAATACCCTGTGTTGCCCATCAGGTTAGAGAGACCCCTTTGTGCGTCACCCTCCCGGGCTGGGAGCCCAATGCATGACATCCGGGATGGGGGAGACCCCTGCATCGCCCCTCGGGATGGGGGGGGGCGTGCCCTGGGCCCCCCGGGGAGGGAGGGACCTGCCTGCTGAGCCCTCCCCCATATCCCGGTCACCCGGCCCCGCCGCTGCTGGCAGGGATACGGGCCGGGCCCGCTCTGCAGCTGCCGGCGGGGGGGGCCCAGCCCGGCCCGGGGGGCTCCTGCAGGGCCGGGCCCGGAGGGATCCGGGCCCGGGGGCACCGTCGGGGCCGGCTCGGCGCCCCCCGCCCGTGCTCGCTGGGGGGCGGCGGCGGGTGGAGCCGCCGCGGGAGGGGCGGGGGCGGCCGCAGACCGGCAGCGGCAGCGGCTGCGCCGCGACAGCGGGAGCGGAGCCGGGAACGGGGATGGGGCCGGGGACGGGGCCGGGGCGAGAGATGGGGCTGCGCTGACCGGTGGCTCCGCGGCACCGGCAAGTGCGGGGAGGGGAGGGGCCGGTCCTGCCTTGCCCGTCTTTCCCGCTCACCCAGCCCAGCTTTGCCTTCCCCTCTCTCCCATCCCCTCGCTCCCATCCCCTCTCTCCCTTCCCCTCCTCGCCATCCCCTGTCTGCCATCTGCTGCCTACCAACCACCCCTGCCTGCCATCCCCTGCCTACCCTGCCCACAGCACCCTGAGCCCAGCGTGGCAATGGGGCGACCGGGGGGCTGAGGGCGGTGGGGAGCGCGGAGGCCCAGTGGCAGGATGAGGTCGGGCTCAGAGGGCAGCGGGGAGGGCGAGGGGTTCTCCAGCCTGCGGGCCTTTGCCCACAGCTCCTCGCTGCACGGCATCAGCCACGTCTTCGCCTACGGGGCCGTGTCGCTGCGCCGCGTGCTGTGGGGCGCTTTCTTCCTGGGCTCGCTGGGGCTCCTGCTGCTGGTGTGCGCCGAGCGCGTCGCCTACTTCCTCACCTACCCCCACGTCACCAAGCTGGACGAGGTGGCTGCCCACAACCTCACCTTCCCGGCCATCACCATCTGCAACCTCAACGAGTTCCGCTTCTCCAAGATCACCCGCAACGACATGTACCACGTGGGCGAGCTGCTGGCGCTGCTCAACGACCGCTACGAGATCAGCAACCCGCAGCTGGCCGAGCCCCATGTCCTGGCCGCCCTGCGTGACAAGGCCAACTTCAAGAACTTCAAGGCCAAGCCCTTCAGCATGGCCGAGTTCTACAACCGCACGGGCCATGACCTCTCTGACATGCTGCTGCAGTGCTCCTTCCGCGGCGTCAACTGCACCGCACGCAACTTCACCGTGGTGAGTGCCAGTCACGGTGCCTGGGTAGAGGTGACAGCACATGAATGCGGGTGTCCTGCCAGGGTCGGGCGCTGGGGCTGCTGGGGCTGCCACAGTGCCTATGGGTGAGCCCACAACCCTCCTGCCAGCACATCTGGCCACCGGCAGCGCACCAGCCGCTGCCCGCCTCCCCACGTGCTGTGGCAGGCCGGCTGCCAGCCAGGGGTGTCACCACCCCATGCTCACTGCAGGGGTGCCAGGCTGCTGGGAACGGTGCCCGGGCAGGAGCCGTGCTGTGCTGGAGGCCTGTGCCGAGCTGGGTGGCTCTGCCTACGAGCACCCACTTGGGAATGGGATGCTGGTGGATGCGGGATGCTCATGGGTTCAGCCCATGGCCCTGTTGCACCTGTGTCAGCCTCAGACAACCGTGTGGGCATGGGCAGGGGTCCCCTGTGCTGAGCTGTCCCCCAGCAGCCACCCAGCCCTGGTGCTGTCCCCAGCATTCCCAACTGCTCTTGGGGGCTGCGCCGGTTCTGCTCCAATCGCCAGTGCCTGTGTCCTCTCACCACCCCTGCTGTGCCCCAGCAGCGTGCCAGTGAGGCTGCACAGCACCAAGCTGTGTCTCCTGGGCTGCAGAAAGCTGCCAGAGCATGGTGGGGGGAGCAGCGCTGCCGTGTCCCCGTGCGGGTGTGGGCAGCAGGGTGGCCAAAGGAGGAGGTTCCTTCCCTGCCCCATGCAGCACTGGGTGGGCACGGGGACCCCTGAGCCCGCACTCCGCTCCCTCAGGCAAACCTCATCCACGGGCAACCTGTGCTGGGCCTGCCTGGGCAGTGAGGGACGGGCAGGGAGGTGGTGCAGGCAGGGTGTTGGTGCGGGCAGGACGGGCACGTCCTTTGTGCTGCGGCAGCGCCGGGAAGCAGCGTGCTGTGGGAGCTGTGCCGCCTGCGCCCGCCGCGCACTGCTCTGCTCCGTCCCCGTCCCCGTGGCTGCACTATCACAACAGCAATTACCACCAGCTTAAGCCTCTTAGTGCGCAAAATCAATTTTCCTTGGGAAAATTAATTCCTCGGTTGAAAAGCATCCCTTGGGCAGCAGCTCCCTGGGCCCTTTGCCGGAGCAGCTCTGGTGATGCCCCTGCAGTTGAGAGGTGGGACCCCGGTGTGAGGGTTGCAGGGCCCCAGGGTGGCACACAGCAGCTTGCTGCAGCCTGAAAGCCAGTGCCTCACTGGGGAGTGTGAGTGAACCATTCCCTGCCCTGGGGTTGCACGGGTGCCTATCCCCATTCCCGTGCCGATGATCCACATGCTGTGCTGCTCCGGCTGCCCCCGGGGTTGTGGATGCTGCCGGGCTCTGCCCACATGTGCCACATGACAGGCTGTGGGGAGAAACTTCTGCCCGAGCAGCCACGGCCGCCCTGGCACACGCAGCCCCCTGGGAGGCCCAGCCCTGCCTCCAGCTGCAGGCACTGCAACTTTGCCGGTGAAAGGGATGGAGCTAATGCCAGGGTTTAGTCAGGGATTATGATCCGCTGCCCCGGGACTCGGCGCTGAGCCGGCAGCTCCCGGCGCCACGTCCTGTCTGGTGGCATTGGGCTCTGGGGCTGCGCACGTGGCCTCAGCTATGGGGTCCCTGGTGTTGGATGTGGGGGGTGTGCAAAGACAGGGCCGTGCTGGGTGGGTCTGTGCCCACAGTTGTGCCCCCCAGTGCTTGCAGGGATGGGGCAGGCTGGGAGCCCAGGAGCAAGGGGTACTCAGGGACAGGAGGGTTCTGGGTGTGGGGCAGGATCTATAGGGAGCAGGGACAGAGGGATCCTGATGGTGGGGTACCCCACATGTGGGGAGCAGGATGGCTGGCAGTGCTGTGGCTGTGTCCCTGTCCCTGCCGTGTCCTTCCTCTTGTCCCCTCCACCGCTAGCCACCGGCCCACAGCACATCCCTGTGTCGGGCAGCCGTTGCCATGGCAGTCGCCCCCCCCTTCCTCCTTGGACAGCGCGTTGCCAAGGCAACGGCTCCCCTTTTTGGGAGCAATCCGTTGCCACAGCAGCATCCCCCCCCCCCCCTTCCATGGGGCAAGATGGGTGGGACACCACACCCGGTGGGGACACCCCATGGCAGGTGGGCCATGACCCCATGGGGCAGTTATGGGTCCCCAGGTCATGGGTCAGTGACAGGACTGGGGGCCATGGCTGCAGCCCCCCCCCCCCCCCCCTTCCCCCCCTCACCCTGCACATCAAGGAAGTCCCTCTGTGAAGTGGGGGCATGGGATGGCTCTGCCCCAGGGTGTGGGGGAAGGCCACAGGCAGTGGGGGTCTGGTTATGGGGTGGGAAGTGCCCCATACATACCTGGAGAAGAAGGAACTGCAGGGCTGGGTGGTTCTGGGAGAGCAGCTCAGGGTTGCTCAGCTCAGGGTCATGCCGGGGTGCTTTGGGTGCTGAGGACGCTGCGGGGAGGTCCCCAGCTGTGGTTGTTCCCTTGCTATGGGCATTCATCCCTGGGGATTTTTTAGTGCTTAAGTCCATGGCTGTGGGTGCTGGGATCTCTGCCTGTAGGTGCTGGTGTCTGTGGCCACGGGTGCTGGTCCATGTCTGTGGGTGCCGATACCTGGTGGCTCTGTGAGGCTGGAGCAGGGCAGGCCCTTGTGTCCCGGTGGGATGACGGTGTGGATGACGCCCTCTCCTGCTGTGGCTAAACCAACCCTGGTCCTGGCTCTCACCCTCGCCGCTCACGTGTCCCCCTCCACCCCATGTCCCTGCTGCCGAGCTGAAACCCAATCCCCCTGCAGAGCAGCAGCAGGGATGTCAGGACAGGCCGCCATGGCTGCGGAGCCGCTGGGACCCTGCCCTGGGTCACAGGAGGCAGCCACCTTCACGTCCTTTGCGCGGTCCTGCACCCTGCACGGGCTGGGGCGCATCTTTGCGCCTGGGGCGCCGGCACCGAGACGCCTGCTCTGGGCCGGAGCCTTCCTGGCCTCGCTGGGCACCTTCCTGCTGCAGGCGGGGCAGCGGGTCCGGCACTACGCTGCATACCCCCGCATCACCGCGCTGGACGAGGCTCAGAGCCGCGTCCTTGTCTTCCCCGCCATCACCCTCTGCAACTACAACCGCATCCGGCGCTCCCAGCTCACCCTCAACGACCTGTTCTGGCTGGGGGGGGACCTGCTGGCGGTGGGGACCGAGGACTTCCCCCGCTACCTGCACGCACTGGGGCGGACCCCAAACCTCGACGGCTTCTTCCCCAGCAAGAGCTACGACCTGGGCGCCTTCTACCAGCGCGCCGGGCACCCCATCCACGAGATGCTGCTGCGCTGCCGCTTCCGCGGCTGGGACTGCGGCCCCGAGAACTTCACCACCGTGAGTGCTGCTGCCATGGCCATGGCCACACCACGGCTGGCTCTGCCCTGCGCAGGGCTTGGGGAGGACCCCAGAGCTGAGCAGGTTTTGGGGCCATGGGATGTGCAGACTGCAGTGTGGTCGGCTGTGGGGTTGAACAAGCTGTGGGGCAATGGGTTGTGTGCGCTCTGTGGGGCCATGGGGTGCACAGTCTTTGGGGCCATGGGTTGTGGCTGTGGCATGATTGGCTGTGGGGCAGTGGTGGGAAGAGGGCACCGTGCCTGCCCACCCTACTGTCCCCTACCCCCAGGGGCTTGGAGAAGCTGCCCCAGTGTGGCTCCTCTTGCCCACAGTGCACCAACAGGGCCGTGGGGAGATGTGGGGCCATGGTGGTGATGTGGAGTCGTTGGGGATGTGGGGCTGAAGCTGCAGTGCAGGCTTGGGGGGTGATGGTTGGAGCGTGCAGCTCTCAGACCTGCTCCCCAATGGAGAGCAGTGGCTGTGGGGCAGGGGGGTGAGGATGTCATGTTGGCTGGTCTGTGCTCCCTGCCAAGCATCCGCAGAGGCCAGTGGGGGCTTTCTCCATGCTGGGGGGCTGCAGGAAGAGGTAGGTCAGCCCCAGGCAGGGGCTGCAGGTGCCTTCCCAGGGGTTGGGGTCCCACATCCCACCTGATGGGGCTGGAGAGGGTCTCTTCCTCTGCCATGGGGACCACTGGGGTCCTGTGGGGCAGGATGTCAGGCAGGACATGGAGGAGAGGGGAATCCTGAAGGGTGCTGGGCCTGGCAAAGCTGATGACACCATGCTGGAGCAGGGACAGCAGTGGCTGCCCTACAGCTCAATCCACAGCCCCGTGCCCCTGTCCACAGCACCATGCTGGTCCCAAACGGGAAGGGATGGATGCACCAGCTCCTTCCCTGCACATGGACTGAGGGGATGCTGGGGTTCTGCACTGGGATTTGCTTTGGGACTGGGCTGGATCCCTGGGTGCTGCACCCCACTCCAATTCAGTGGGTGCAGGGCAGAGAGGGCCCAGCTCCTCTCCCCAGCATCCCAATGCCGCTATCCCATGGGCGGCGCCATGGCGGATGCTGAGTCTCCAGCCGTGTCCCCACAGATCTTCACGCGCCTCGGCAAGTGCTACACCTTCAACTCGGGGGGCCCGGGCCGGGAGGTGCTGACCACGCTGCAGGGCGGCGCGGGGAATGGCCTGGAGCTGATGCTCAACGTGCAGCAGGAGGAATACCTGCCCGTCTGGGGGGACACGGGTGAGGGACCCCCCAGCCCTGCCCGCAGCCCTGCCACCACCCTGTGCCCCTGACGCCTGCCCTGCCTTGCAGATGAGACCTCCTATGAGGCAGGGGTGAAGGTGCAGATCCACAGCCAGGAGGAGCCCCCCTTCATTGACCAGCTGGGCTTCGGTGTGGCGCCCGGCTTCCAGACCTTCGTGTCCTGCCAGCAGCAGAGGGTATCCCATGCATGGCAATGGCACAGCCACCCCAGGGCTCGGGCAGTGGCTGCACGGCCACAGCTATCCCCACTGGACATCCTATGCTGAGCTGTGCCGCATGGTGGGTACCACACCACCGATGCAGCGGCTCTGCCGCCACAACAGCCAGGAGCACCGTGGCACAGTGTGGGGTAGCCCCATGGTGCTGCCACAGGCACCGACTTCAGTGGTGACCCCCCATCTCCAGCTGAACAGACCGTCGGCAGGGGCGGCATCCAGCCCACGCAGCCAGACACCTAAATTTAGATGCCTGGAGTGGGTGTCTCCATGTGTGCCGGCGCTCGCAGTGCAGGCGGCTGGGAATGTGGCCCTTGGCACCAGTGGGTGCTGTGCTGGGCCCTGCTGCTGCCTCACCAAGCACACACCCGCACCAGACATGGCACAGCTCTGCTGGTCACCACAGGGACCACTGGGGTTCAGTCTGGTGCCATGTACCAGCCCTCACCTGCATCCTTCCCTCCCGCTGGGTGCAGTGACGCTGGCCCTGAAACCCATCCTGGTGCCCATCAAAGAGGGGCAGGGCTGGGAGCGGGATATGCCCCAAGCCCTGGCTGCGTGGGATAAGCTCTTCCCAATGGATGGGCACCACGGTGGGTGGGACACTGGGGACACCCTGGACGCCATGTTTTCCTTAGCCGAGGGCTGGCAGCTGGTGTACCTACCCCCGCCGTGGGGGGACTGCAAGGCCACCCCCATCGAGTCTGACTTCTTCACCAACTACAGCATCACCGCCTGCCGCCTGGACTGCGAGACCCGTTACCTGGCCGAGAACTGCAACTGCCGCATGGTGCACATGCCGGGTGAGCCGGGGCCGGGGCTGGAGCCGGGGGGCGGCTGCTGCAGGGCTGGGACGGTGGGGAGACCCTCCTGCCCCTGCGACCGCCGCCTTCCCCGCAGGCAACGCCAACGTCTGCACCCCGGAGCAGTACAAGGAGTGTGCTGACCCTGCACTGGGTACGTACCGGGGCACCCAGCCTTCCACTACCCCGAGTCCCGGGTCTGACCCCGGGACCGCCATCCCCTGACACCCCCAGCATCACCCCTGGGACTCCCCACCCCCTGCCAGGCACCATCACTGAAAACGTGGCACCAGTGTCCCTGTGCCAGTCCCAGCCTGCTCAGACCCCACACGTGCTTGTCCCTTGCCACCGGCACCCGCCACCACCCGGGCTTTGGCCTCTGAGCACCACAACCCCACTTGGGCGGGTGTCATGGCCACACGGTCCCGGTGGTCCCCGTCCCACCCGCGTCCCCCCCAGACTTCCTGGTGAAGAAGGACAGCGATTACTGCGCCTGCCGCACGCCCTGCGCCATGGTGCGCTACGGCAAAGAGCTCTCCATGGTAAAGATCCCCAGCAAGGCCTCTGCCAGGTACCTGGCCAAGAAGTTCAACAAGACAGAGCAGTACATCGCGTGAGTGCCACCACCGCCGCGCTGGACTGCAGACCCAGCAGCACGTGGCACAGCATGGCCTGACGGGGTCGTACGGCATAGCACGGCCGCAGGGCATGCCTCAGCAGACATGAACTGGCATGGCATGACAGCATCCCCGCCTCTGGAAGTGTTCACAAACCATGTAGGTGAGGCCCTCAGTGACATGGCTTAGTGGTGGACTTGGCAGTCCTGGGGTAACAGTTGGATCCGATGGTCTTTTCCAACCCAGCTGATTCTATGATTCAATGATGGTGTGATACAGCGCAGCACGGCCACGCTACATCCCCCAGCATAAGCGAACCAGCACAGCACAACACGACACAGCATGGCACAGCAAAGCATGGCATGGCATGGCAAGACACAGCATGGCACAGCACAGCATGGCATAGAACATCTTTGTGCCAGCCCAGCCCAGGGCCGGGCAGACCCGTCTGCCTCATCCCACCACGGGACAGTGCAGCCCCCCAGCTGGGTTTGCTGCCTGATGGCACATCTGTCCGTCCATCCCAGACCCATCTGTCTCCCCCAGGGACAACGTGCTGGTGCTGGACATCTTCTTTGAGGCCCTGAACTATGAGATGATTGAGCAGAAGAAGGCGTACGAGGTGGCTGGGCTGCTGGGTGAGGGACCGGGGAGACTGGGGGCAGGTGTGTGTGTGTGGGGGGTGTTCTGGGGGGCAGCCCCCCTCTAATGCCACTCCCCTGCCCAGGCGATATCGGGGGGCAGATGGGGCTCTTCATCGGCGCCAGCCTCCTCACCATCCTGGAGATCTTTGACTACCTGTACGAGGTGAGCACCCCCCGGCTCCCCCCCGCCTCACACCTGCCCCATGGCCGGGAGCTCTGACCTGCCTTCCCCAGGTCTTCCGGGACAAACTCCTCAGCTTCTACAAGGAGAAGAAGAAGACCCCCAGGAGCGACAGCAGCACCCTGGTAACCCCCCCACAGCCCCCCGACCCCCCTCCCCTGGCACAGCCGGCAAAGGGGGGGCCTCGCACCTCATCCCACCCATCTGCTGCTCGGCCTCATCCCGCCCGGGACCGGCACCATCTCCCGCTCGGACCCTGTGCACTCATTCGCTCCTCTCTGTCCGTCTGTCCATCCGCCCGTCTGTCCTGCACCCCACCGCCTGGCAGGAGCACCCAGCAGTCCCGGGCAGCCCCGCTGTCCCGCTCCCTCCGGGGCCCAGGTAGACATCCCAGCTCCACACCAGGGGGACAGCATCCCTGAGCCCCAAACCTGGCACTGCCGGCATGGGGGGCCATGGGGCTGCCCCCCCAGGGAGGGTGATGGGGGTCCCTGGCTGGGGCACAGCAAGGAGGATGCAACCCCCAAATTCCCCTGCAGGTGGGCCCCGAGGGTCCGCACCCCCCTTCACTCCATCCCAGGCTTTTCTTGGCATCATTCCCAGAGCCGGTTATGGGGGTCACGCCCCCCCGCCAGCTCCGCTCCCATCCTCATGCATCACTCCCAAGCACTGTGTCCCCGGGGTCTCCCTGCTCAGGGCCCCGCACAGCCAGGCTGGCCTGGCAAGGGGCCATCCCATCACCCCCACTGGGATGCTATATGGCAAGAAGGACCCCCAGATATCGGGGGCCTGAGGGTTGCATGGGGAGGGGGAATGGGGCAGAGCCAAACACAGTGGAAGAAGGATGGTGGCTGTAGGATGATGGGGTGGGGGGAGTGACTGCACGGACTCCCGGCTGCCCCCAACCACCCCTCCTGTCCCCAGGGCACCTGTGCCCCCCTGCGCTGCCACGCGGACAGTCTCACCTTCGCCCCGAACATGCTACCTCGTCACCCGGCTCTAGGCCCCTTCGAGGAGTTCGCCTGCTGATGGCCCAGCCTTGCACCCCCGGCCGGAATGGGGGACTGGGAGGATCCCCACTGCCACTGGGGCACCCCACGGGGCTGCGGGGCTGGCTCTGGGCCCTAGGCTGCTCCCCCCTCTAAGGGCTGGCAGGGGGCTGGGGTGGCGGGGCCCCCCCGGTCCTACTCCCATGAACCTGCATGTGCTGCTTGCGCCCTTGCCCCCCTCCCTGCTGCGCTGTACATGCCAAGTCCCCTTGCTGTGCCCCCAACCCCATTAAAGACCTGACCCAAGGCCCAGCTTGTGTGCTGCTGGGGGGTACTCAGGGACAGGGTTGGTGGCGGGGGGTCCCCAGTGCCTCAGGAAGGAGAAGCAGGCGTTGGGAAGGGGGAAGCTCTTTATGGAGGTAACAAACACACACAATCACCCACGTACAGCAGCACGGTAGAAAAGAAATGGGGTGTCCCCCACACTTCCCAGGGGAGCTGGCACCCGGGACCCCCACCATGCCAGGGGTGGGGAAGGGAGGCAGCATAGAGAGAAGGGGTGAGGGGTCCCACCCCCCCCGGGGTCCTCATGCCTGGTCCCAGAGGGTCCTGCCCCTCCACCAGCACCATGGTCCCGCATCCCTGGGGGGGCTCCATGTGCTTGGGGGCAGCCCCAGGGGTAGCCCCAGCCACACCACAGGGCTGGGGGGGCTACTCCAGCATCCCACAGCCGGGGTGGTGTTGAGTTAAAAACCTAATAAATACAGGGGCAAGGGGAATGGGGGGCTGCATTTCTGGGGTGCCAGCACCTTGCTCCTCACCTCATGTCCCCACAGCTGCCTTGGGGGGCTGTCCCCTCCCCACCACTGCCGGGAATGTGCTGGGAGCTGGGTGCTGCCCCCCACTCAGCGTGGGGCTGGGTGGGTGTCTGGAGTCCTTATGGGGGGCAGAAGTCTGTGAAGTAGGGATGCTGAAGAGCTTCCTCTGCTGATATCCGCTGCACTGGGTTGCACTTCAAGAGGTTCTGCGGGAAGAAGGTGAGGCTGGGGGGGTTGAACCACCGGCCCCCCAGCCGCCCAGAGAGCTGTGGGGCTGCAGGGGGAGAGGGCAGCACCCCAAGAAGCTGAAGCCCCCACGGTGCAGGCTCACCTGCAGCAGGTCCCGGCCAGTTGCATTCAGCTTGGGCACCACATTGACCAGGGAGGTGGTGGCCGGGTACATGGGGTATGGCTGGGGATGGAGAGGTGAGACCCAGACCCCATCCCTGGCCCTGAGCCCCCCCAGGCTGCCCCTGCCTCACCTTGTAGTCTGGCAGCTTGGCCATGGCCGGCCACTGCTCCTCCGTGGGGGTTCCCAGCAGCGTGGGGACAACAGCAGTCAAGGGCCACCGCTGCTGCCAGCATCAGAGTCAGCCATGCCCAGCTCCCCCCAGCCTAACCCGGGCAGAGCCCCCTTCAATCCCCTGCACAGAGGGCTGTCCCCCTCCTGTGGCACTGGAAGGATATCGGAAAATCCTTTTCAGCTGGTCATCCACGTCATTACCCGGGAACAGGGGCCGCCCCGCGTTGGCCAGCTCTAGGAGCCAGAGAGGAGATGGGTCCCGAGGCCGTATGGCCCTGGCAGCCCCTTGTGCCGCAGCCCCCTGCGCCGGCACTACCTGCGAAGATGCAACCAGCTGACCACATGTCAATGGAGGTGGAGTAGAGCTTGGCACCGAAGAGCACGTCTGGGGGCCGATACCACAGCGTGACGACCTGTGTGGAGGGAGGAGGAGGTGTTGGGCCGGCTGTGGGATGGAACCAAGCCCTCCAGGCAGGAGAAGGCAATGGGTACACCTTCCAGCTCACCTCTGCTGAGTAACAGCGCACAGGGATGCCGAAGGCCCGGGCCAGGCCAAAGTCAGCCAGTTTGAGCTCCCCATTCTGTGGTGAAAGCGCCATGTCAGCAGGACAGCAAAGGAGACGGCGCAGGGGACACCCTGTCTTGCTGCCCACCCTTTGGCAGTCGCGCCTCCTTCATCTCTTCCCGTTGACCAGAAACACGAGGGACAGACAGAGCGGCAAGTGGCAGATGGACAGACAGCACCTGCACCTCACACAGACACACAGCCCCAGAGCTCACCCTGTTTATGAGCAGGTTCTGGGGTTTGAGGTCTCGGTGCAAGACGTTGCGGCTGTGGCAGAACGCGAGGCCCTTCAGCAGCTGGTACATGAATGACTGTGGAAAAGAGCACGGTCCTGAGTGGGACACATCAGCCCTGTCAGGCCAGCTCTTGTAACAGCTGGTGATGCTGCAACTGGGTCCCTAAGGGCTTCCAGAGCCCCCCTGGATGCACCTTGACGATCTCTGGGTCCAGGTCTCCATTACAGCTGTCAAAATACTTCTTCAGGTCCTGGAGAAAGCGAGCAGAGCCATGTTGGGGAGCTGCAGGGACCGGGAGCAGCGACCCCAACCTGGCCTTGGCACCACTGTGGCACCGTCACTCACCTGATCGCAGAACTCAAAGACCAGGGTGAGCTTCTTGTCACTGTGCAAGACATCATGGAGCCTGCGAGGGGAAGGGTGACCCTGAGGCCCCAAACAGGGGAGACCAAGCCCAGGGAGCGAGGGCAGGACTGGAAGGGGACACGCAGGACTAGAGAGGGCGAAGGATGCAGGACCACGGAGAGGGAGATGCAGGACTGGAGAAGGAGATGCAGGACCGGAGAGGGAAGGATGCGGGACTCGGGGAGGGAGCAGCCCCCGCCACACTCACAGTCCCCGTTACCTGACAATGTTCTTGTGCTTGAGCTCCTTGAGCAGGCAGATCTCCCGCAGCGCCGAGCTGGGCACTCCCTGCCGAGAGAGGGGAGTGATGGGGGGGAACCGGATTCGGTATCGGCTCCGGGTGCCGGTCCCCGATCCCCTCACCTCGTCGTCATCATCCAGCCGCACCCGCTTCAGCGCCACGATCTCGTGCGTCTCCCGGTTCTTGGCCTTGAACACGGTCCCGTAGGTGCCTGCGGGCGGCGGGCGGACGGGTCATTGCCACGCCAGCCTCCGGCACTGGGTTCCCGGCTCCCGCACCCACCCGAGACCCCCGCACAGCCCGGCCCCGCAGCAGCCCGGCCCCGCTGCACCTTCCCCGATCTTCTCCAGCTTCTCGTATTTCTGCATCGCGCCGCGATCCGCTCCGGCTCCGCTCCTCGCCTCGATTCTTGGGGCCGGTCCCGATCCCGTCCCCGCCGCCGCCACACCTCCCGGCAGCCCCCGCGGCAGCCCCGCCTCTTCCGCCACACCTCCCGGCATCCCCTCGGCCCGCCACGCCCCCTCCGCCACACCTCTCCTCGCTGGCCACGCCCCCCGCCACACCTTCTCCCCCAACCCCCCCGCTCCCGCCGTGGTTCCGGGTTCGATCCCCGGGTCCGCCCGTTCTCCCGCCCCGGAGCATTGCGGAACGGGGCCCGGCCGCGACGGGGACCCCGTGGGGCTCGAGGAGAAACGGTGACCACGCCCGCCAGAGACGGTGCCGGGACCGGCGCCGGTGCCGACCTAACCGGTGCCGCCCCGCCCCGGCGCGCTCCCGCTGCCGCTTCTCCCGGCGGGGCCGCGCAGACCCGCCCGGCTCGGCGGGGCTCTCCGGTAAGCGGTGGGAGCAGGAGCGGGAGGTGGCGGGGCTGGTTCGATTCGGTTCGGTCGGGTTCGGTCCCTGTGCTGCCCGTGTCCCGCTCGCCTGCGAGCCCCTGCCCGTCGGTCCCGTTCCGTCCCGTGCTGGCACTGCCCGACCGGCTGCGGGAGCCCCGGTCCCGCTTCCCGCCCCATCCCGGGATGGGACCCTGGGGCAGCTGCACCGGCCCGGCGGCTCCTCCTGGGGCCCCGAGTACCGGCGCGGCTGAGGCCCCTTTTTCCCCCGCTGCCACCTCTGGTATCCCGGCGGGCTCGGCCCGAGACTGGAGGGTCCCGTGGACTCCGTGGTGCCCGTTCCTGGGTCCCCCAGCTCCTTCGTCAGGGGAGGAAGCAGCACTGCTGATTACTGGCACCCTCCTGGGACCCCTGCACCCTCTCCAGCCAACCTGCACCCGGGTCCATGGTCCCCTGTCTGGGGCGTCGCACCCCGGCCTCACCCCGTCACCTGCACCATCTGTGCCACTGAGGCGCGTGAGGCTCTGCTGGACCCAGCTCTTGTACTTCAGCCCTTGGCATCTCTTTATTTCCTAGGGGGTACCAGCACGACACGAAGCAGCTCCATGCCCCTCCCTCCCGGCTTCTGAGCCCGGCAGCAACCTTCGGCAGGTGAGAAACATGAGGCTGGGAGCAGCCAGCCATCCCACATCACCGGCTCCCTCCGAGCACAGGGAGCATCCTGTGGCTCTGCCCCATCCAGGCGTGTCCCCAGGGGTGGCACAGGGCTGTCTCCGAGGGGCTGGCGCCCGCCCGGCACGGTACTTGCCAGGAGCCGCCATGTGCCGTGCTGGGTGGTGAGTAGTGCTGCCCGCTTGCGAAACGCTGCCAGGGGTTGAGCAACGCCGGGCATGAGTCCAGCTCCTGCTGGTTTCCCACTTCCGCGCTGGTTTGGGCTCCCATGGCTCCGGAGCGGGGCCGCTCTGCCCAGAACCCACGGGGAGGGGGCAACAGGGCTGGGGTACACCAGGAGAGCCCATGGCAGCCTCTGAGTCGCTTGATACAGGCACAGACATGGACAGAGCCGGTCCCCAGGGACAAATAGGGCTGTTCCACACATCTCCTGGGGAGATCCCCGTGGTCTCTGAACCGGTGTCAGGACGCTGGATTGCTCCTGGAGGAAATTGTGTTGGCAGCTTGTTGGTGGTCCAAGGGCTGTGGGGAGGGGTCTATGCCCTGGCCCTCATCCCCATGCAGTGGCTCCGTGCAAGGGCTGCAGGGTCCCACTGTGGGATTCGTGGGGTGTCATGCCTTTCAGGGTCACTGCACCACTTCAAGCGCCTGCCAGGAGCGTGGGATGTGATTGCCCTAACAACCCTCCTGGCACCGGTATCCGCACTGCTCTGTGGGCAGCCCTTCCGTCCCGGCATCCACGGGGACTGGGGGCCAGGAGCTGGGCTGGCCCTGAGCCCAGGCAGGGGCTGTGCTGGATGGCCTTTGCCCTGTGCCCCTCACTGCTCTCCACCCCGGGTGCTACGTCCTGCCTGGCCTCATGTCCCCCACAGAGATCAGGCCCCTCCGGCCTCATCCCCCCCTTATGCCACTGGGCTGCTGTGGGTGTCTGCAGGTGAAGGTGTATTGTAGGGTCGGCTCTGGGGGGTCCTCGCACTGGTGAAGGGCAACCCGCATCTCTCTTACTCTCCCTGCCCTGCTGTGCCCCGTGCTGCTTCAGTGAGAGCTGTGAGAGCTGCGGGGTGGATACAGGGCTCCCAGGAACGGGACGGGGGTGCTTCTCCAGTGGCCCCCTGCCCGGGGACACCATCCCGGCGAAGGAAGGGAGGGAGCCGTGGGAGCTGCTGCTTGGCCGGGTCCCCGTGCCGGGCTGTGGGGCTGGGGGGGTCTGGCTGCCATCCCTGGCGCAGCCCCCGCAAGCGCACCCCTATCATTAGAGGGGACGGGTGGCCGCAGGGACCGGGCTGGCTGCCCGAGGACGCCAAGCTGGGGCTTGCCAGGGGCGCCGGGGCCGGCGGGGGGGGAAGACGGGCTGCCCCCAGCTCCTCCTCACTCTCTGCCCCACATCCTCCTGCCCCACAGCCCTCGCGTGTGGCACTGCCCTTGAGGAACACTGAGCATAGTGCGGTGCAGGAGAAGCTCTCACGCCTGCTCCTGCCCGCACTCTAGGGTCTGCATCTCCTCTACGTCCCCCCATGGCTGGCCGCTCCATGGGACAGGAGCGCGGCCTCTCCGCTGGCGCTTGGCCATTCCCGGCTGCCGGCGCTCACCGCTGGCTGCCCCCGTGCCCAGCGGGAGCCGCGGTGCTGAGGTGTGGCTGCCCGAGGAGCCGTTCCCGGACTTGGCACGGCCGCTCTGTTTGGATAAAGTGGCCTGGTGCAGCCTTGCCGAAACAAAGACTCAGCGCTGCTGCCGCTGCCGAGTTTTTTTTTCTCCTGCGCCGGTATAAATGCTCCCGGCAGCGGCCGGCGCTTGGCAGCTCTCGTCACATTGGGGCAGAGAACGGCTGCGCACTGCCCCACACCAGGCTGCACGGGGTGGCCCACGGGAGAGGGGGTCGCGCTGGACGAGAGCCCCGCATCATTCCCTGCTGGGGCGGGTCCCCATCCCGGGGACACGGGGCCGGCAGCCTCTGTGGGGAGCCCGCGGGAGCGCAGCTGGAGCCGCAGCCTTGCCGGGTCGGCGGGTGATGGGGTGAGTGGGGCAGAGCTGCCTGCTGGGGCCGGAGTGGGTGGGGAACAGGGAATGGTGCATCCAGGCTCACACCTCCCCGATAGCTTCGGTGGGTGAGTGCAGAGCCCTCAGCCCTGCCATGGGTGATGGTGTGGGGCTGTATCCAGCCCACCCCACAGACGGGGTCCCACAGCAGCCACCAGGACCAAGGGGTCAGTGCTGGTGGGTGTCCCCGGGGTGGCACATGGAGCCCAGCACCGTGGCACAGGGGCAGCAGACCCCCGTGAGAGGCAGCTGTGCCTGCCCCTTCCCAGGGCTGGGATGGAGATAGCAGTGGGGACACCCGGCAGGAGCCTCACACAGGGGTCAGGTGCCGTACTGGGGGTTGGTGCCACATAGAATCATAGAGTGGTTTGGATTGGAAAGGAGCATAATAAGATCATCTAGTTCCAGCCCTCCTGCCATGGGCAGGGACACACGTTGGGTCTGATGCTGCACAGGGGGCCCTGGCCTCTCCAGGGTTGGCCGGAGGGGTCGCGGTGGGGCTGGCAGCCATCAGGGAGCCCTGGACTGGACTGGTCATGCCTGCCCTGGCTGTCACCTCCCTCCCCACGGTGGTGGCACTGTTATGGGTGTGGGTACGGAGCTATGCAGTGCCGTGATTCATCTCCCAGATCCGGCGGTTTCGAGGTCACGGTACGGGGACAGGGAAGGATATTTTTGGTGGTGGCTTCTAAACTTACAGTGTCTAGAAAATCTCTGCCGGGGTGGGAGCCGTGCTGTGGGCAGCCTTGTCCCAGCCCAGCTCCATCCTACACTGTCCACTGCGGTGGTGGTGGGGTGCAGGGCCCCAGCTCCCTCTATGGGGTGGGCACTCAGGAGGTTCTCGGGGCAGGGGGATCTCCTGGAAGTGTCCCAGGGCAAGCAGGTGAACTGGGCAGGAGGGAGTGGGAGCAGCTGGACTATGCCATGAGGACCCCCTGGAGCACCCCACAGTTGGCAGCCTCAGTCATGGGGCATGGGTGCTGCCCAGGAAGTGAGGGACTGCAGGGGTTCTGTGTGGTCTCCTGCACTCTGGTCCTCAGGAGTGGGCAGGAGAGCCGCGGCACACTGAGGTTCCTCACCCCCTACCCCCCCAGCCTTGAGGACCGTTTTGGGGAGCAGGGAGCTGGGGCTCGTGCTCTGTCCATGCAGGTGGGGATCCAGTTTGTGGCCACCATGACTGCTGGCAGTGCTGGCCAGAGCCGGTCAGTGGTGCAGGGAGTGGTGCAGACCCTGGGCACCATTCGGGAGCGGATGCTGGTGCAGCCTCAGGGCAGTGCCAGTGCCTGGGCGGCTCTGCCAGAGTTGGCTTGTGGCTCCCATGCCTGGGATGTGAGCACCCTGAGGAGCAGTGGAGTGAGTATGGCTGTGCCAGACCAGGGACAGGACAAGGGGGAATGGCTTTAAACTGACAGAAGGGAGATTGAGATGGGATCTGAGGAAGAAGTTCTTCCCTGTGAGGGTGGTGAGGCCCTGGCACAGGTTGCCCAGAGAAGCTGTGGCTGCCCCATCCCTGGCAGGGTTCAAGGCCAGGTTGGACAGGGCTTGGAGCAACCTGGTCTAGTGGAAGGTGTCCCTGCCTGTGGCATGGGGGTTGGAAGTGGATGGTCCTTAAGGTCTCTTCCGACCCAGACCATTCTGTGATTCTATGATTCTATGGTTCTTTAGCAGGGAAACAGTGGGGCAAGTGTGGGGGTGCAGACCCCTCCTGGGGGAGCTAGCCCCATCTGGTGGTGGGCTGCATGGCCCAGGATCCTGGCGCCCCCCTTCCATGGGTCTCGCCATGCCAGGTAGGTTGAGGAGCTTGGGGCATGTCCACCTGGAGTCACGGGCATAGCCTGGCCTGCACCAGGCTCACCCCTGTGCAATGTCATCTGAAAACTGGGCACAATCAGTTCCTGGGGAGTGGC